CACTGCGTTTCTCTTAAATGTGGTTGTTAGTTAGCTTTAGTGAAGTGTGTTTCATTCAGAATGTCAACAGGGGTTAGGTTGCTAATAAGGGACCAGGAAGGAAGAAGGGGTTTTCCAAGAAAGGGAAAAGTAGAGTGTTAGAAAGGGATAGACGGAAAATTAGGAGGATGAAATGGGACATGTGTGTGTGTGTGTGTGTGTGTGTGTGTGTGTGTGCGCGCGCGCGCGCGCGTGCGTGCGTGCAAGGGTAAGGAAAGGAGGGAGTATGGGGAGGAACAACTAACACTAAAGGCCTTTTGAAAAGCCAGAGGGAGACCTACTACTGTAGAAGTCCCCTAAAATATATACATATATGAATGGAATTTAAATGACGTTACCATATAATGGAGGAGACGATGCCTCAACCAGATATCATATGCTACCAAATACAACCTGCACTGCAGGAATGGGATGCATCCTTTGAGTTGTTGGGCAGAGTAGTCCCATCGAGTCCTCCAAATACCATAGGCCATTGCTGACGCTATTGGGTTGCCCTCCACAACCTGAGAGTAGGACCCTACTCCTGAGGACGCCACATTCACAGAGACCTTGAGCATCACCTACTGACCAGCATTCATAGTGTTGAAAGGCATTACATGCGCTACTGCAGAAGAAAACCAGTCATCGATCCCATCCAACTCTGAACCCCCTCTGAGCGGCAACAGCAACCTGCCTGGTGGTGCAAATGTTATGGGAGAATGAGGCCAAGAACCGGGGGCTAGACAGGTCATGGGCCAGAGGGGAAACCTACTACAAATATTCTGCTAAATCAGGGGTTCTCAACCTTCCCAATACCGTGACCCCTTAAATACAGTTCCTCATGTTGTGGTGATCCCCGCCCCCCATCATAAAATTATTTTTCATTGCAACTTCATAACTGTAATCTTGCTATTGTTATGAATCATAATGTAAATATCTGATGTGCAGGATGTCTGATATGGAACCCCTATGAATGGGTTCTTTGACCTTGTGCATACACACACACACACACACACACACACACACACACACACACACCAATGTTTGTTTTGTTTTGATTTCATTCTTTTTTAGAAAAGAGAAAGACTATGAAATGAGAGCCTGGGTTGTGGTGGGGGCGGTCTGAGAGGAGTTGGGGAAATGGAAAGAGTATGACCCCAGTATACTGTATGGAAATGTAAAAAGTAATTACAAAAATAAAAACTCCTCTATAAGAAATAGGGTGTGCTAGATGCTATCTGCAATTGGCATCCACTTGCAAAGGAAAAATTAGCTTTCACCTAAGAGTCTCACTGGATATATTAATCACAATTAAGAGTAGGCCTCATGCCCAGCAGTAGATTTCCAACACAAAATGAACTCTATGGTATTTTTGCAGACCTTTTGTCTCATATTGCTTTTGTTTGGGCTTTTTTTTTTCTTTTTGTTTTCTTTTTTTGTCTTATCCTCTTTTGCTTGTATATTATGGTTTCCAACTTTGTGGTTTTGTGTATGTGTGTGTGTCTGTGTCTTGTGCTTTTCCTTTTTTATTTTGGTTATTGCTGTTGTTTTCATTTGCCTGTTTGTTTTCTAAAAAGAGAAAGGGTGTGGAGTTGGGTGGGCAGGGAGGATGGGGAGGAGTTGGAAGGGGAATCCATGATCAGAATATGTATGAACATTTTTGTCTTTGGAGATTTTTTTTTTTTTTTTGAAAAACACTAGCCATGCCAAGCATGCATCCTGGTTTGCTTTCTTTCTTTTTTTTTTTTATAATTATTATTTTTTATTTTATTTTACATACCAGTTTGACCTCCTCCCTCTCATCCTGTTCCCTCCCCCACCTCCTCTCCACCCACCCCCATCCATTCTTCAGAAACAAGAAGTAGGCTGTGCTCATCTGTTTTCATTAATTTTTAGAAAACATGCCTCACTTAATTTACAGTGCAGAGAAGCCTAGATTTGCAGTTGTGTGACAAAAAAAAAAAGAAAAGAGAAAAGAAAACTCAGCTCAAAGGCTTGTGGTTGTTGTTGGCCATTTTAAGATACACACGAGGAAATACTGTAGGCTGCTGGGAATGCATATAGAAGGTTCCTTGGAGGGAGGAACTTAAAGACCCTGTAGACCAAAAAAACGTACTCTCTTGTGACCTTGTGAGCTGGGAGACTTCCTGGAAGGGAGAGGAGAGGTAGAGCGGCCTGAGACCTTCAGACTCTAAGCTGTTTATGTGGTTTAAGTTTCTTAACTTCCCTGAATCCCAGTGGCCTCCCTCACCTACAAGAAGGAGGACAGTATCTGGCTGATGGTTTGGTAGCCCTGTCTTTCAGGAAATTGTAATATCCTCTTCCACTTTTACGCCTGTTCCTGGTACTGTTGATTCTAAGGCATGGCTTTGAGGCCTCCCTCTGAGTTTCTGTTTGCTCTCTCCTTGGTTACCCACCCCCTTAAGACGGTATCTCTCCCGGTTCACGAGCTGTGCATTTTCACTTAGACATGCGGCTAACACATTTTATACTTAACCAGCAGAAAGCCAAATTAGTTATTTCTTCCCTCAACTGTCTCCAGGTTTTGGGATAACAGTCCTTTTAAAGCTATCCCTTTACCTTACACATGCTCACATTACTGAATCACCTTTAAGATTGTTCAGCTTCTGTTCAGTTGTTAAATTCTGTGGACTCCTCCTTCAAAATGTCTTTGGTCTGAGCAAGGAAGGAAACCCAAGGGTTTAAAATAATTGTGTGAGGCTTTCTTTTTTAAGAGTCACAGGTCTACTTCCCTAATATAGAGTCATTCTTTTAAAAACTGAAATTAAGGCACTTGCGTTCCCCAGTGTTAACGTCCTGGTGTGCCTCTGGAGTCACTCCATTCCCAGACTCGGCACACAACTTCCAAATTAGCTGGTGCTTCCCTGTGAAAACTCAGCAGTCTGCTGATGACACACCGGCGCCTCGGATCTCTTTCTAGCCTGTTTCTCAATCCTAGCGGCACCTGGCCCTTTCTTGACCACTTGCTCAGCCATTCTTCCTTCTTTCTTATCCTTTGCCCATCACACTGACACTCACCAGTCCGGTTTGGTAGGATCAGTGGGTCTTTCCTCTGCTCTATCCGCGTGCCTTCCTGAACTCCAGACCACTTATTTTGCTGTTGCATACTCAGGGCATTTATCACAGGAACACATTATGGATTCTTGGAAGGAAATATTAACGCTTCCGAGTTGGTCTTTTCTACCTGGGCAAGAGCCAGGTTCTCATCCCTACAAGATCATAGACTTATTTTTTACGTATCTTTATGTTTCCTGACCTCATTACATAAATGTGTCATTTGGGAAATGGAGATCTCTATAGGGATTATACATCATTCCCAGACATTTTGAAATCGATGTGGGATGAGATGCTGGAAGACGCGTGGCTACCTTTCAAAGTGCAGAATAAAGACAAGGAAATTGTGTTCACACAAAGCCCTAGGTTCCAAAACTTCTCTTCGAATCCCAAAGTCACTGTGCTCTCTGCAGACCCAATCTTTGATGGTTGTTCATTCCAGGGAATGGGCTGGGGTGATAGCTTAGCTGGCAGAATGCTTGCTGTACAAGCAGGAGGACCCGAGTTCGATCTCCAGGACCCATGTAAACATGCCAGCTGTGCTAGTGTACATCTGTGATCCCAGCACCAGGGAGGCAGAGACAGGTGTGTCCCTGGGGCTCACTGGCCAGCCAGTCTACCCCAGTCAATAAGCCCCAGGTTCTAGTGAGAGCCCCTGCTTCAAAAGAGGTACACAAGTGTACCCCAGGATGACACCTGAGGCTGTCCTCTGTCCCCCACCCCCCACGGGGACATATGCACACACTAACACAAATGTGCATGCACACACACACACACACACACACACACACACAAGTTTTAGAATCAAGTTAGATTTGCATTCTAATCTGGTCACTTCTTAACTGTACAGATTTTGGTAGAAATAACCTTTTTGTTCTCTCATCTTAGAAATATTGACAGCTTTCCCACTTCCTGAAGTTGTGCTGGTAAAATGGTACATGTATAAAGCACCTGGAATCCAGCAAATCTGGGCCAGCAGTTAAAATAAAATACTCTAAGTTACACATTTGAAGGTTTTGTTCTTTTCGTAGTAATGCTTACATTTTTATGCATGTCTTTTTTTAAAAATTAAGTAAGTAAATCATGTGATATTTTTAATTCTTTCCCTCCAGAATGTTGTAATTATTTTGGGTGGTGACAAGCATTACTTAAGGGTCCACCCATTATTCCTTCTACTTGTTTCTTTGGAAAGAACTTATTACCTAGATAAAGTACTTTAGCAAGTGCTTGCTCAAGAGTATTTGGTGTTGCTAAGCTGGGTGGTGAAGATAGTTTTGGACCCTCTGCTGAGCCCATTGTTCTAGATATCAAGCTACAGTGCTCATTTAACACACATTTAGAGAACTCTTCCAAAGTTTTTCTCACAGCTCCCTATCCGTTTTTGACTCAAGCTAACTATGGCATGGCAGAGAAATGTGTCGAATGAAGTCACAGAAGGCTCTCATGGACTAAAAGAAGGTCTGACTGATAGATACACCACTTTTCAGCCTCTGCTGGGCCCTTACATACTTGTCATGTAAGGAATAGTACAGTTTTTAACATTGAGTATGAGAAACACACTTGATTTTAAAACACTCTACCTTTGTGGGACTTTTAAACTCTAGGATTTTTTGTTTTTGAGAAATGGTTCCATTATACAGGCCACGTTAAGTTGGGACTTTGAAGCCCAGGCTAACCTTGAGCCCCAAACCTCTTGCCCAACCTTCCAAGTTTACAGGCATGAGTCACTAGAGTATGACGTAAACTCCAGAACGTTTTAAATACTGTTAGATGTCAATGAGTGCCTATAGGGGACCCTTTCCTATAATTCCTGCATTGGGCAACACAGTGTTTAGCTAACTAACTAAGCATGAATCATAGGAAACATTTGCTGAAAACAAGATTCCTCTTCAAAAGCTCACACTAACCTGTAAGGAACCACGAGTAAACTTTAGGAAAGATTATCGGCGTAGGGTGTAACAAACGCTCTCACAGCTGGTCCACCATCGAAGACAGAATTTCAGGTGAAGGATTTCATCAGGCAGGTCGAGCAGCTATGGGAATAGATAATCCAGCCTAAGACTCTGCTAACCAGACCCAGATACACAATTACAGGGAAACACTTTGGGGCTCTTTACATGAGGACCTGCAAAATCTCTCTCTCTCTCTCTGAGGTATGTGGCTGCTCCGATGGTACCACATGGATCTGGGGCTTCACAAACCGGGTTGCATAGTGATACACCTTAAATAATCCTAATTCCCAGTGCTGTCCTCAAAGATGTGCAGCTTGTCCTGGGCACAGCTTCACTCTCTGGATTTTTTCCCCCCAATGCTCCCATGTGATCCCAATGTGTGGATCGCTTTGTGTATCATTGGCTATTCTTCACAGTACGAAACAAACCTTTGTCTTAGGGTCTACTACTTACTTCTAAACATCATTTTATAGGAGGATTAAATCCTAAAGTAGAATTCAAGGAGGGTCCTTGGTACATAACCAGAACCAGGACTAAGAAAGCAACTCCTTACCCAGACAAGATCTAAAAAAACAAACAAACAAAAAAAAAACGATCAGTCAAGCTCTCTAGACCTCGGTGTGTTGTTTGTTACAGGGCGCTGGCAGGCTGGCCTCCAGCTCCCTATTAGCCTACGCTCGTTTTCTTGGATCACCTCCTATTTTCCGTACTGACACCATGGAGAGACCTAGAAGACAACATACTGGGTCACCGGTTCCCACCCTCCATTTGTCATCTTCCAGCTGAAGCCACAAAGGTCCTGGGGTGTGCCCTGTTTCTCAGCTCCCACTGGCCCAGGAATTCCACCGCGCCTATCCTTCACTCTGCCAGCACTCAGCAGGCGGGAGTTGGGGGGAGTTTGGGAGTCTGGGTGGCTTTTTGATATTCCTGAGTGCTGACTCAGGGGCGAAGCGCCCTTCTTTAGAAGGCATACATTTAGTTCCCCCCGCAGACGTAACTCAACAGCGGGCCCACCCCGGCCGCTGGGTCCCCAGGGTGACATATGCTGGCCTGCCCACGCCACGGAGGGAACGCCCTGTGCATGCGGGCCGCCCCACCCAAAATGACGAGAGCCCCGCCCCGTCCCGCCTCGCCCCGCCCATCCCCGCCGCAGCCGCTCAATTAACCGGGGCGCGAAACCGCTCCAGCGGCAGCCGGACGCGCTCTCTCTTCTACCTGGGGCCATGGGCCGCGCACGCGCGCCGGGGACCCGGTCACCGCCGCCGCCGCCGCGGGTGCCGCCGCTGCCGCTGCTGCTGCTGCTGTCGTCGTCGCTGCTGCTGCTGTCCCCGAGCGTGCAGGGTGAGTGGCTGGAGCTGCTGCGAGGACTGAGCGGCGGCCGGCCAGGCGCGCGCATGCTCATCAGGCATTGTTACCCAAACCCGGGGGGCCTCCTCCCGCGGCCAGGTGCCGGAGGCCACGGGACGGATGGGTGTGGAGTGCTGGGCTGTCTGGGCTGTGATGGATCCCGCGACCGGAGACCGAGGGAAAAGCAAGAGGGAGGGTCGAGGGCGAATCTCCAGCCCTGCTCCTGGTTCTTTTATTCTAAGGCGGAGGAGGCCAGAGGGCTGTCCACCTGCGCCCCTGAGAGTCCAGTTGCCAGCAGCGCCCTGCGCCACGCACTTGGGTGTCGGAACTTGCGCCCAGCCGTGGTGTCGTCGTGGATATCGAGTACCTTCTGAACCTCTTCTAAACGTCTCCTTAGGGGGAGGGAGCGCTTCCACACAACGTTAATTTTGTGTTGTGTCGATAAGAGCCTAGGCGTTTGCAAGTTCCTGTTGGGAAGGGAGGAAGTAAAGAGCCATTGCTGTTCTCCTTAGTCCAGGTCTGGGGAAAGAAAGTCACCCAGTTGCCGGAAGGTGTCTTCTGCTTTACATCTGCTCTTCTCTTCCTAGGCGACTGCGGCCCACCTCCAGAAATGCCTAACGCCACGCCAGAGGTGGATGGGAAAACCAGTTTTCCCGAGTACAGCAATGTGGTATATTCATGTAATAAAGGCTTTAAGAAAATTCCAGACAAGGAACACACAGTGTTGTGTCTTGAAAATGGTCAATGGTCTACCATCGAAACATTCTGTAATAGTAAGTTCTTCATTTCTTTATAGAAGTGTTAGGGGACTGTGTATCTTGTGGTTATTTTTACACCTCTTTGGAGTGACTGGTAATTGATAGTTTTCTAGCATTATTAAACCCCAGAGTATACATGTTGGCAGTTCACACTCCAGCTAATTGAAGGCGGTACTTCCTATAGCAGGCCCTGCTTCTTCATTAAGAGTTTTCCTTTCTGTTGTTCAGGCTAATAGAGAAAATAAATGATAGGTCCTGTTTAGGGAGTAAATTATATGTGAATATATTTGGCAAGTACCTTGAGACACACACCCAGGTGATCTGCCTTCTTCAACTTCATTTTGTTAAGTGACAAATGCAACTCTTGGGAGACATTTTAAGATTTTACTTAAAAAAGAATCTGTTGTTCATATAGCCCTATGTTGGCTTTAAGATACAGTTTTTAGGTTGATTCTGGCATATCTGAACACAATACAGAGATTCTGAGCTCGAGAGTGTGTCTGCCCACCTGGGTTCTCTAGTGTAACCTATTGCCGGTTCTCTTACTATAAACCTGCTGCACAGCATGTTACTCTGCTAAATACTGTTGGCAGTTACAGTGCATTAGTCAGGGAGAGAGGGAGTGGCCCTCAGGCTTAAGGCGTTCCTGTCTGCTGCACGGGCTTTATAGACACTGCACACCGAGGCTATGCTAATTTTCTTTAAAAAATAATAAACTAGCGTTAGTTTACTTTTTGCTTGCCTGTATATTGCTCAGGCTAGCTTCAACTCATGGACTTAGAAAATCTACCTGCCTCAGCCTCTCAAGTATCTGGAATTATAAGCTGGGAGACCTTGCCTTTTTTTTTTTCTTTTCTTAAATTTTTACACTCTAAAATAACAATAAAAATAGAAAGTAGAATATGATAAACACATGGCCTGGCCACCTACACACTTATTGCCAAACATTATCTACTCTCTGTGATTTTCTGTGCTATACCCTCAGGATTTTCATGGACCGAGGTTGCTATCTCCAGCACCAGTACAAGCAAGTTAGTAAGAAATTGCATTAGTATGGCCGCAGTGTTGCTAGGCAACAGGAATAGTTCCGCTCCTTTACATACCTGCAGGAACCACATTTGTATATGTGGCCCATCATGGATCAGACATTTGGTGTGTGACTGACGACAGGAAAGTACAGCTAAGACTTGATTGCTGCCTTTGAGTGACCTGAGTCGGGGGAAACTACAGTGAATCCAGAATCATTCAAAGCTAACTTTTGAAACCACAAGTGAAATGGGCTTTACATTTGTATTTTCAACCCCCATTGAAGGCAGGAAACCCATAAGCCCACACCACACGTTTTAGAGTTTGTAAATCTCCTGCAGTATTGCTTCATCTAACCCTTCAAGCAGCCCCATGAATATGTAAGTGGGGACTCTTCTCAGTTTCAAAGTTGAAGAAATCGTCCACCAGAAGGTAAATAATACGCACAAGACTAGTACTTCTTATACCAAAGAGCCAGGCTTCAAGCGTGGGCCACTCGACTACTGAGTTACGGTTTCATGCTCTATCCTTTGCCTCTCTGGAGTGTATTGTTCCAGCTGTTTACACTTGGTGCATACTTTATGTACACAGTTCCTTCATCTGACTCTCCTTACCAGGGGCTGTTGTAAGATTAAATGAGTAAGTGTGTGTAAAACATTTACAAATATTTAGTAAATACAAGGTATTATTATTCCTATTATTATTGACATTTATATGTGGAAACTTAGCAGACACCTAGTAACTGAGAAGTGCAGGTGAATACACTTGATATACTGCAAATACCACAGTGATACTTATTTAAAAATGAATGTATAAAGATGGAAGGATCCCTACCAAAAAAATAAGTAAATAGTTAAATGAAAAGGAGGTGGTTTAACTACCAGATATTACCAGAGGTCAACTTATTTTATAATCTGTTATTACTTTTTCTGTCTCTTTGTTAATTCTTTTAGAAAGCTGTGATGCTCCAACAAGAGTGTCTTTTGCATCTCTCAAAAAGGAATATAACAACTTGAATTATTTCCCGATTGGTACCACTGTAGAATATGAATGTCGGCCAGGATTTCAAAGACAACCTTTACTATCAGGCATATCAACTTGCCTTGAGAATTTAGAATGGTCCAAAGTTGAAGAAATTTGTAAAAGTGAGTATAATTTGAATAAGTAATTCCAATCATCTGTATTTGTGGAAATCTCTTTTCCATTTGTGCTAGAAATATATGCGTGTATATGTGTATAATATATGTATATATATTATACATACATATATGTTTGTGCTGGAAATATACATATACATCTATTATGTGTATATGTACATATGTATCTATTATGTATACATATACTTACACACACACACACACACA